CCCGAGGACTCGGTGTCCAGGCAAGGCCACCAGCAGGTCCACGGGGGAGCTCCAGCGGGGGCTTTCCCGCTGCATCAGAACTCAGCCTGTGGATTCCTGGCCCCCCCCCCCACACGTAGGCTCTCTGCTTCCCCCTCCTCCCATTTCCAACCAACTGTTTGATCCTTTAGCAGAAAGCTCCTGAGTCAATCCTGCTCTGGGTATTTGCTGAAGCCCTGTGTCATGCCTGGCCAGCTGGGCACCCCGGGCAGGTGGGGGGACCTCAGTACCTCTGGACATGGAGTGCTGGGCACAGGAGCCAGGGACGTGGGCGGGACAGCCTTTCTGTCTTCATTATAGTGAAGCACTCGTCCTGTAAAATCCACCCTCTTAGCCATTTTTTGGTGCATGGCTCAGTGGCTATAAGCACATTCACAGTGTCCCGTGGCCATCACACCATCCAGATCTCTCCTGGCAAGACGGAGACTCGGTACGCATTAAATGTCATGGCCCTGTCCCCCACCAAGACCCTGGGCTTTTGTAGGTAGGCTAGTCTGGGTTGGGCACAGGGGCCAGACAAGAGCCAGGTGGCTGTAAAAGGCTCCATTTCCTGGGGCTGCCCCTCCCCCAGGCCCCGCCTGGGGACTGGGGACTTAGAGAGACGCCTTGTGCTGACCCCTGTACCCCCCCTCGCCCCCCGTTGGCCCCTGTGAATGCGCCTCCTGGTGGCAGTGGGTGTGTTAAAGCCTCTTCCTAGGGATACCCTGCCCTGCTCCGCTGCCCAGGCGCTTGGGGGCTCAGAGGCCCTCCCCTGGACATGGCCCTGGAAGTGCAGAGGCGCCCGGCAGGGTCCTGCAGGCAGCACTGGCCGGCTGGGCCTCCCCAGGCCCCGGGCTGGAGGTTGTCGGGGACGGTGCTTTTCAATTCCTGCCGTTGCTCCAGCCAAGCACTTCGTGTAAAATTGCCATGAAAGTGAGCGTGAATTACAGCGATAAGCCCGCAGCCTGCTCTGACCCTCTCGGCTCTCCATGGGCGAAGCGCAGATTCCTTGTGACAAGAGCAATGAGGTTCTGCAGGCACTTCTTCAGCGAAGTCACCTGAGATTGAAAGCCCTCGTCCTCCAGGGCCAGGAGACCCGGGCTTCCATGGACACCTGGGAAGGGGACTCTGTTGTCTCTTCTTCCTGCTGCCACGGGCTCTGGGGTCACGGAGGCCCCAAGTCCAGTGTGGAGCATGCAGAGTGACAGGACGCCCGGGTCACGCCGGGTCACACCCAGGTCGACAGCCTCACCTGGGCTCCTCCCCCGGCCTCTGGGACAGTTCCTTCCCCGTGAACACAGAAGGTATTTACTGGGCCAGATCCCGTCCCCAGCCCTGGATTTGAGGATGACCTGGTCCTGCCCTCAGCAGGAAGGCGGCGGCTCAGGACAGTCCCCAGGGGTGACCGGGCCTAGGGTGCAGAAGTGGGGTGCCTACGGCTCAGGAAGGCTTCCTGGAAGAGGAGGCCATGTGTGAGTCAGGAACGGGAGGGAGAAGAAGCTTCTAGGCTGAGGGAAGTCTCTGTCAGGGAGGCGCTGGCCCACGGGAACTGCAGGAGCAGAGGGCCGCGGGGTGAGAGTGACCGAGGTCCTGCCGCGCCTGTCTCCTGCGCGACAGGAGCAGGGAGTGAGAGCTCCCTGAGGGTGTCTTGCCCGGCGTCTCTCCCTGTCTCTGGCTTTGTCAGGACCCTCTCCACGCTGGGCAGCTGCACCCCGGAGGCCCTGGGCTCTGGCTCCAGTGCCCCTTGGGGGCGGGGCCTCGCTGCTCCAGCGCCCTGCAGAGGAGGGCTCCCTGCCCACCCCACTGCACCCACAGGGCGTCCTGTGCCACCAGCAGAGGCCACCACAGCCCTTGGGGACAGGGCTGGAGCTCTGGCAGGGTGGGGAGAAAGCTGGGGTGTGGCCCAGGGGCAGTGGGAGCCCAGGAAGGCCAGAGCCCTGGGGAGACGTGCCGGTTCCCACTGCAGAGAGAGCTCCAGAAAGGCCGCGATGGACGGGGACAGGCAGGGGACACCGTCACAGGTGCCTGGGGAGAGAGGGCCAGGCCTGAATGAGGCGTGGGGGCTGCTCTCAGAGAAGACTCACGGGACTCGGTGTTCTCAAAGGAGATGTCGCCTCCAAGTGCTCTGGGCGGCGGAGCTGTCACTCACTGTCTCACGACCCAGGGGCCCATCTCGGCTCATTTTGTCGGTCTTTTGCCAGTGAGAAAATGAGGCTCCTCGAGGCCTGTGACTCACCCAGGGCAGCAGCAAAACTGGGACTGGAGCCGCGTCTCTGCTGGTGGCCCAGGACTCGCTGGGGTCCGCTGATCCTCCATTGTGCAGTCTGCCATCTAGGGGCCTGGGGTTGGCGGAGCTCGGCGGGTGGCAGTGTGGACCCTGGAATCTGACTGCCTGGCTCCCACCCCCCTCCACTCCTTCCAGCCTGTGCAATCTGGGGAAATTGCTAAACCTCTCTGTTTCCTGCTCTGCAAAGGGGAATAGAACGTGGAAGGGTCTGATCTCTAGGGTAGCTGCTGAGATGAAATGAGTCGACGGATGGCATTGAAAGCATGGGGAATGCAGCCAGGAAGGTGACAGGGACGACGGCAGGAGGTGTAGACAGCAGCACAGAGTCTCCCGGGGATTTGCTCCCACCTTTGTGGCCTTTCTCCCTGGACTCGGGTCCCGAGGCTCAGGAGCAGCCGTGCCCTTCCTCGCTTCTGCAAGGGACGGCGGGGAATCACCGTGGCCCTTCCTCTGCGGCTCTCAGTTGGGTGGGGGAGTGAGAAAGAAGGGACAGGGACACACCGGTGACCAGCTGGAGTTCAGGGGGGACTTTTGGCGTAAGGAGCCAGAGCCCCGCTGGGGGAGAACTGAAGGGCCACCAGACATCTCACGAGGTCTCTGGGTGGCCTCTGGGTGGTGGGAGCCCCTTCCCGGGTGTTTGGGGCCTGGAAGCCCTGGCCAGGCTCCTGGTGGGTTAGAGAGGGCCCCGGGGGAGGGGGGAGGAGGGACCAGGCCTTTGAGGTTCACAGATAGGGACGGGGAGAGGCTGGAGGATGTCTCGGTCCTCTGTCCACGTTAGCAGCAAAGCTTCTGTCCGGGTGGGGGTGCCTCGGCCAGGTGGGGTGCTCTGGCTGGTGGGGGCACAGGGGGGCCTCCCACTGTCTTTCCCCGACCCCGTCTCTGCAGGGCGCAGGCCCCTATGCCTGGATCTCCATGGTGGCCAGCTCCCCCAGGTCTTTCTGTCACGGCCTCGTTGAGAGGTGACCATAACATCATCAAAATGGCACCACTTTGGACGGTGTGCTCAGGGGACCTGCCCGCCAGCCCCCGCCCCACCCACCCTTTACCCTCCATGTGCTGAGCGCCTGTGGACAGCGCAGAGCCTTCTAGGCGGGGACTTTCCCACTGGCCAGCGTCAGGGAGCCAGAGATGTAGCCCCTGGACCTGATCCATGGTGCCCTGTCCAGGCGCGTCTCCTCCCTGGCCTGAGGTCACTGCAGGGTGGACCCCTGAAGCAGGGCCTCCAGGACCTCTCCCAGCAGCAGCGTCTGAACCAGATCCGAGGGAGGTGGGCAGCCCTGGGAGGCACAGTGGCCTGGTCAGAGGCAGAGGCTGGGCACGTCCAGCCCTGGGAGGCCTCTCTGCCCTCCGGGAGCTTCTGGGAGGAAGAGGAGGCTCTGCCCGCAGAGGAGGGCCTTCCTCATTTCCCTGCCCTTCCCTGAGCCTCCAGCACCTGGCTGGCTGGCTCCTGCCCGCCCCAGGTCACACCCCAGGCCACACCCACAGGTCACACCCCAGGCCATACCCCAGGTCACACCCCATACCACACACCAGGCCACACCCCAGGCCATACCCCAGGCCACACCCCATACCACACCCCAGGCCACACCCCCAAGCCACACTCCTCCTGTGGCTCTGTGCTCCAGGACTTGTGCTGTGCGTCTCCGTGGGGCGCAGGGCCCGGCACCCACATGCATTCAGGAAATGTTTGCTCAATGTGATGGACGGGAGGACCACAGGGAGGGACATCTCGGGAGCTGGCCCTGGTTCCAAGGCCCTGGGCTGCTTCCTCTGGCCTGGTGGTAGGAGAAGGTGGAGGGGCCCTGCAGCAGGTGACCTGCTCCCTGGCTCAGGGGCCAGTACACACCCACGGAATGTGTGTCGCAGACAGTGACCTCATGCCCGCAGGGGAGAGACGGGGAGGAGTCGGCTTGGGGCTCCCGAGGGAGGGCAGAGGGGCTTACGTGGGCTTGGAGCCCTGCTTCTGTGAGGTGGCTGAGAAGACAGTGACTCTAGAGGAAGCCACAGGGCTACAGCCATGTCCTCCAGGCCGGGTGAGATGGGGTGACCCCAAGGCTCTAGCAGAGGGACCCCCCCCCCAGTCTGGCCAAGCGGCAGCTGCTCAGCCACCAGAGGCAGCGCTGTCCCAGATGAAGACTGCGTCTGAGTGGCCTGGCAGGCCACAGGCAGCTCCCAGCCTCAGAGGACGCTGGGCCCGTGGGCAGCGGGTCCCTAGAGGCCAGGAGAGCCAGGAACTACCCTGGAGAGCCAGCAGCCCGGTCAGCAGAGCAGGACTGTACTGAAGCAGGAGGTCTGGGACCCTTGGCTCCAAACACACACTACAAACATGCTAGGGACCGTAGCCAGTGCTTCTGGCACTATGTGAATTAGTGTCCCTCTCTGGGCAGTCACAGCCCTGCAGGAGGAGCAGGTAGCCCTGGCCAGGTATATAGTTTGGCAAGGTAGCCTGGGCTAGATCTCAATGCCCCTTGCCCCTGGCTGGACTCCCTTGTGCAGTGATATACCTGCACAACTGTTCACAGCCATCCATCAATTCCTGTCCAAGAGTCTGCACTAACCTCACTGCCTTTTTACACCTCTCTCCTTTTTCACCCTGGGCTCTAGGAACTGGGTGGGCTGGAGGCCCCTCCAGGCACAGATCTGATAGAAAAGGTGAGTTTCTTGAAGCTCAGACTCTCAAGGGCTCTTCTCTCAGTAACTTAGGGGTACCGCCAGGCCGGGGGAACTGCCCGCTCACCATGCCCCTGCCTTTCGACCTCATCTACACCGACTACCACGGCCTTCAGCAGATGAAACAGCACATGGGACTCTCCTTCAGGAAGTACCGGTAAGAGGGCCTGGTGATGGCGGTGGGGACGCAGGTGTCTGTAGACGAAGGAGAAAGCTGCTCCCCACACCCTGCCGGACAGCCAGCTGCCCAGGCACTGTTCTCCCTGCCTCTGCCCTTCCCATTCCTGCTGCTCCCATCTCACAGGAGCTCTGCCCCTTGAGGAGGAGGATGACCAAACCAAGGACAGTGGAGAGTCCTCCGTGGTCCCTGGGCTGCATGGGGCTGGGGCTGGGGTCTCCTGGATAGAGGGGGCAGGGAGTGGTGGAAAGGAACTGGATGCCCCAGTGGAGGCGTGGCC